TGGATTCAGAACACTAGAGAATGCAACGAGAAACAGCACCAGTATCTTTTCCGAAGTATTCTCTCGGAAGAGGGCACTAAGACATAGAGAATGCAACGAGAAACAGCACCAGTATCTTTCCGAAGTGGCAATTCTCTCTCCGGAAAAAGGCAAATCTGTATTCAGAACACTAGAGAATGCAACGAGAACAGCACCAGTATCTTTCGAAGTGGCAATTCTCTCGAAAGGACAAATATGTATTCAGAACACTAGAGAATGCAACGAAACAACACCAGTATCTTTTCCGAAGTGGCAATTCTCTGTATTCAGAAGAGAATGCAACGAAACAGCAAATCTGTATTCAGAACATTCTAACACTAGAGAATGCAACGAGAAACAGCACCAGTATCTTTTCCGAAGAGGGCAACTGTATTCAACACTAGAGCAATTCTCTCGGAAAACCTCTCGAAAAGGACAAATCTGTATTCAGAACACTAGAGAATGCAACGAGAAACAGCACTTTTCCGAAGTGGCAATGTCTTTCAGAACACTAGAGAATGCAACGAGAAACAGCACCAGTATCAATTCTCTCGGAAAAAGGACAAATCTGTATTCAGAACACTAGAGAATGCAACGGAAACAGCACCAGTATCTTTTCGAAGTGGCAATTCTCTCGAAAAATCTGTATTCAAACACTAAGAATGCAACGAGAAACAGCACCAATATCTTTCCCTGAAGTGGCATTCTCTCGGAAAAGGGCAACAGTATTCAGAACAATTTTTGCAACGAGAAAACAGCACCAGTATCTTTTCGAAGTGGCAATTCTCTCGGAAGAGGGAGAATGCAACAAATCACCAGTATTCAGAACACTAGAGAGGGCAACGAAAACAACACCAATGTATCTTTTCCGAAGTGGCAATTCTCTCGGAAAAAAACAAATCTGTATTCAGAACACTAGAGAATGCAACGGGAAACAGCACCAGTATCTTTTCGAAGTGGCAATTCTCTCGGAAGAGGCAAATCTGTATTCAGAACACTAGAGAATGCCACGAGAAACAGCACCAGTATCTTTCCGAAGTGGCAATTCTCTCGAAGAAAGACAAATCTGTATTCAGAACACTAGAGAATGCAACGGGAACAGCACCAGTATCTTTTCCGAAGTGGCAATTCTCTCGGAAGAGGGCAATTCTCTATTCAGAACACTAGAGAATGCAACGAGAAACAAACCAGTATCTTTTCCGAAGTGGCAATTCCTCGGAAGAGGGCAAATCTGTGTTCAAAACAATTAGAGAATGCAACGGAAACAGCACCAGTATCTTTTCGAAGTGGCAATTCTCTCGGAAGAGGGCAAATCTGTATTCAGAACACTAGAGAATGCAACGGGAAACAGCACCAGTATCTTTCCGAAGTGGCAATTCTCTCGGAAGAGAAACAAATCTGTATTCAGAACACCAGAGAATGCAACGGAAACAGCACCAGTATCTTTTCCGGAAGCGGCAATCTCTCGGAAGAGGGCAAAATCCATTCAGAACACTAGAGAATGCAACGAGAAATAGCACCAGTATCTTTTCCGAAGTGGCAATTCTCTCGAGAATGCAACGAGAAAACAGCAAATCTGTATTCAGAACACTAACAATAGAGAATGCAACGAGAAACAGCACCAGTATCTTTCCGAAGTGGCAATTCTCTCGGAAAAGAGGGCAAATCTGTATTCAGAACACTAGAGAATGCAACGAGAAACAGCACCAGTATCTTTTTTCCGAAGTGGCAATTCTCTCGAAAAGAACAAATCTCAAGAACACTAGAGAATGCAACGGGAAACAGCACCAGTATCTTTTCCGAAGTGGCAAGAGGGCAAAATCTGTATTCAGAACACTAGAGAATGCAACGAGAAACAGCACCAGTATCTTTTCGAAGTGGCAATTCTCACGGAAAAAGGCAAATCTGTATTCAGAACACTAGAGAATGCAACGGAAACAGCACCAGTATCTTTTCGAAGTGGCAATTCTCAGGAAAAGGGCAATTCTCTCCAGAACACTAGAGAATGCAACGAGAAAACAGCAAGTATCTTTTCCGAAGTGGCATTCTCTCGGAAGAGGGCAAATCTTCAGAACACTAGAGAATGCAACGAGAAACAGCACCAGTATCTTTTCCGAAGTGGCAATTCTCTCGAAGAGGGGCAAATCTGTATTCAGAACACTAGAGAATGCAACGAACAACACACCAGTATCTTTTCCGAAGTGGCAATTCTCTCGGAAAGAACAAATCTGTATTCAGAACACTAGAGAATGCAACGGGAAACAGCACACCAGTATCTTTTCCGAAGTGGCAATTCTCTCCGGGCAAATCTGTATACAGAACACTAGAGAATGCAACGGGAAACAGCAATTCACAGTATCTTTTCCGAAGTGGCAATTCTCTCGATTCAAAACAATCTGAACACTAGAGAATGCAACGAGAAACAGCACAACAGTATCTTTTCCGGAAGTGGCAATTCTCTCGAAAGAGGAGCAAATCTGTATTCAGAACACTAGAGAATGCAACGAGAAACAGCACCAGTATCTTTTCCGAAGTGGCAATTCTCTCGAAGAAAGGGCAAATCTGTATTCAGAACACTAGAGAATGCAACGAAACAGCACCAGTATCTTTTCCGAAGTGGCAATTCTCTCGGAAAAGAGGCAAATATGTATTCAGAACACTAGAACAACTAGAGAATGCAACGAGAAACAGCTAGAATACAACAGTATCTTTCCGAAGTGGCAATTCTCTCAGAAAGGGCAAATCTGTATTCAGAACACTAGAGAATGCAACGAGAAACAGCACCAGTATCTTTTCCGAAGTGGCAATTCTCTCGGAAAGAGGGCAAATCTGTATTCAGAACACTAGAGAATGCCACGAGAAACAGCACCAGTATCTTTTCCGAAGGGCAATTCTCTCGGAAGAGGGCAAATCTGTATTCAGAACACTAGAGAATGCAACGAGAAACAGCACCAGTATCTTTTTCCGAAGTTCTCGAAAAGGCAATTCTCTCAGAACATTAGAAATGCAACGAAAACAGCACTGTATCTTTTCCGATTCAGAACACTAGAGATGCAACAGGAAACAGCACCAGTATCTTTTCCGAAGTGGCAATTCTCGAAAAGGGCAACTCTGTTCAAACACTAGAGAATGCAACGAAACAATATCTTTTCGAAGTGGCAATTCTCTCGGAAGAGGGCAAATTCAGAACACTAGAGAATGCAACGGAAACAGCACCAGTATCTTTTTTCCGAAGTGGCAATTCTCTCGGAAAAGGGCATCTGTATTCAGAACACTAGAATGCAACGGGAAACAGCACCAGTATCTTTTCCGAAGTGGCAATTCTCTCCGGAAGAGAAACAAATCTGTATTCAGAACACTAGAGAATGCAACGAGAAACAGCACCAGTATCTTTTCCGAAGTGGCAATTCTCTCACGAAGAGGGCAAATCTGTATTCAGAACACTAGAGAATGCAACGGAAATAGCACCATCTTTTCCACACCAAAAAGGGCAAATCTTATTCAGAACACTAGAGAATGCAACGCAAGTATCTTTCTCTCCTCGGAAGAGGGCAAATCTGTATTCAGAACACTAGAGAATGCTACGAGAAACAACACCAGTATCTTTTCCGAAGTGGCAATTCTCTCGGAAGAGGGCAAATCTGTATTCAGAACACTAGAGAATGCAACGAAACAGCACCAGTATCTTTTCCGAAGTGGCAATTCTCTCGAAAAGGACAACCCAGACTAGAACATCAGAGAATCTATCTTTTCCGAAGAAAAGAGGGCAAATCTGTATTCAGAACACTAGAGAATGCAACGAAACAGCACCAGTATCTTTTCCGAAGTGGCAATTCTCTCGGAAAAGGACAAATCTGTATTCAGAACACTAGAGAATGCAACGAAAAATGTCAGCAATTCCAGTATCTTTTCCGAAGTGGCAATTCTCTCGGAAAAGAAAAATCAAATCTGCAACGGAAACAAAGCTGAAGTATTCTCTCGAAAAGGGCAAATCTGTATTCAGAACACTATCAACGAAACAGCACCATTCTCTTCCGAAGTGGCAATTCTCTCGGAAAGGGCAAATCTGTATTCAGAACACTAGAGAATGCAATGGGAAACAGCACCAATATCTTTTCCGAAGTGGCAAATTCTCTCGGCAATTCTCTCAACGAGAAACAGAAGTATCTTTTCCGAAGCAAATCTGTATTCAGAACACTAGAGAATGCAACGAGAAACAGCACCAGTATCTTTTCCGAAGTGGCAATTCTCTCGGAATTCTCTCGAGGGCAAATCTGTATTCAGAACACTAGAGAATGCAACGAGAAACAGCACCAGTATCTTTTCCGAAGTGGCATTCTCTCGAAAAAACAAATCATATTCAAACACTAGAAAAAGCAACGGCAAAATCTTTTCGTATTCAGAACACTAGAACACTAGAATGCAACGAAAACAGCACCCAGTATCTTTTCCGAAGTGGCAATTCTCTCGGAAAAAGGGCAAATCTGTATTCAGAACACTAGAGAATGCAACGAGAAACAGCACCAGTATCTTTTTCCGAAGTGGCAATTCTCCTCGGAAGAGGGCAATCTGTATTCAGAACACTAGAGAATACAACGAGAAACAAGTGATTCAGTATCTTTCCGAAGTGGCAATTCTCTCGGAAAATGGCCAACTGTATACAGAACACTAGAGAATGCAACGAGAAACAGCACCCAGTATCTTTTTCCAAGTGGCAATTCTCTCGGAACAAATCTGGCAACGATATCTTCCGAAGTGGCATTCTCTCGAACACTGTAGAGAATGCAACGGGAAACAGCACCAGTATCTTTTCCGAAGTGGCAATTCTCTCCGGAAGAAACAAATCGAAGAACTAGGGCAAATCAGCATGTATTTTTCAGAACTCTCGGACAAATAGAGAATGCAACGAGTAACAGCACCAGTATCTTTTCCGAAGTGGCAATTCTCTCGAAAAGGCAAATCTGTATTCAGAACACTAGAGAATGCAACGAGAAACAGCACCAGTATCTTTTTCCAGAAGTGGCGATTCCTCTCGAAAGAGGGGCAAATCTGTATTCAGAACACTAGAGAATGCAAGAGAAACAGCACCAGTATCTTTTCCGAAGTGGCAATTCTCTCGTATTCAGAACAAGGGCAAATCTGTATTCAGAACACTAGAGAATGCAACGAGAAACAGCGCGCAATATCTTTTCCGAAGTGGCAATTCTCTCGAAAGAGGGCAAATCTGTATTCAGAACACTAGAGAATGCAACGAGAAACAGCACCAGTATCTTTTCCGAAGTGGCAATTCTCTCGAAGAGGGCAAATCTGTATTCAGAACACTAGAGAATGCAACGAGAAACAGCACCAGTATCTTTTTCCGAAGTGGCAATTCTCTCGGAAAGGGCAAATCTGTATTCAGAACACTAGAGAATGCAACGAGAAACAGCACCAGTATCTTTTCCGAAGTGGCAATTCTTCCCGAAAAGGGTAAATCTGTAGTTCAGAACACTAGAGAATGCAACGAGAAACAGCACCAGTATCTTTTCCGAAGTGGCAATTCTCTCGGAAAAGGGCAAATCTGTATTCAGAACACTAGAGAATGCAACGAGAAAAAGCACCAGTATCTTTTCCGAAGTGGCAATTCTCTCGGAAGAGGGCAAATCTGTATTCAGAACACTAGAGAATGCAACGAGAAACAGCACCAGTATCTTTTCCGAAGTGGCAATTCTCTCCGGAAGAGGGCAAATCTGTATTCAGAACACTAGAGAATGCAACGAGAAACAGCACCAGTATCTTTTCCGAAGTGGCAATTCTCTCTCAGAAAAGGGCAAAATCTGTATTCAGAACACTAGAGAATGCAACGAGAAACAGCACCAGTATCTTTTCCGAAGTGGCAATTCTCTCGGAAAAGGGCAAATCTGTATTCAGAACACTAGAGAATGCAACGAGAAACAGCACCAGTATCTTTTTCCGAAGTGGCAATTCTCTCTGAAGAACACTAGGGCAAATATCTTTTCCAAGTATTCAGAACACTAGAGAATGCAACGAGAAACAGCACCAGTATCTTTTCCGAAGTGGCAATTCTCTCGGAAGAGGGCAAATCTGTATTCAGAACACTAGAGAATGCAACGGAAACAGCACCAGTATCTTTTCCGAAGTGGCAATTTCCTCGAAAAGGGCAATTCTTCAGAACACTAGAGAATGCAACGGGAAACAGCACCAATCTTTTTCCGAAGTGGCATTCTCGGAAGAGGGCAAATCTGTATTCAGAACACTAGAGAATGCAACGAGAAACAGCACCAGTATCTTTTCCGAAGTGGCAATTCTCTCGAAAAGGGCAAATCTGTATTCAGAACACTAGAGAATGCAACGAGAAACAGCACCAGTATCTTTTTCCGAAGTGGCAATTCTCTCGAAAGAGGGCAAATCTGTATTCAGAACACTAGAGAATGCAACGGGAAACAGCACCAGTATCTTTTTCCGAAGTGGCTCTCTCGGAAGAGGGCAAATCTGTATTCAGAACACTAGAGAATGCAACGAGAAACAGCACCAGTATCTTTTCCGAAGTGGCAATTCTCTGTATTCAGAACACTAGAGAATGAAGAGGGCAATCTCTCTCAGAAGAGGGCAATCTGTATTCAGAACACTAGAGAATGCAACGAGAAACAGCACCAGTATCTTTTCCGAAGTGGCAATTCTCTCGGAAGAGGCAAATCTGTATTCAGAACACTAGAGAATGCAACGAAACAGCACCAGTATCTTTTCCGAAGTGGCAATTCTCTCGGAAGAGGGCAAATCTGTATTCAGAACACTAGAGAATGCAACGAGAAACAGCACCAGTATCTTTTTCCGAAGTGGCAATTCTCTCGGAAAAGGGCAAATCTATTATTCAGAAGAGGAATGCAAATCTGTATTCAGAACACTAGAGAATGCAACGAGAAACAGCACCAGTATCTTTTCCGAAGTGGCAATTCTCTCGGAAAAAGCAAAATCTGTATTCAGAACACTAGAGAATGCAACGAGAAACAGCACCAGTATCTTTTTCCGAAGTGGCAATTCTCTCGGAAGAAGGCAAATCTGTATTCAGAACACTAGAGAATGCAACGAGAAACAGCACCAGTATCTTTCCGAAGTGGCAATTCTCTCGGAAGAAGGCAAATCTGTATTCAGAACACTAGAGAATGCAACGAGAAACAGCACCAGTATCTTTTCCGAAGTGGCAATTCTCTCTCGAAAAGGGCAAATCTGTATTCAGAACACTAGAGAATGCAACGAGAAACAGCACCAGTATCTTTTCCGAAGTGGCAATTCTCGAAAAGGGCAAATCTGTATTCAGAACACTAGAGAATGCAACGAGAAACAGCACCAGTATCTTTCCGAAGTGGCAATTCTCTCGGAAGAGGGCAAATCTGTATTCAGAACACTAGAGAATGCAACGAGAAACAGCACCAGTATCTTTTCCGAAGTGGCAATTCTCTCGGAAAGGGCAAATCTGTATTCAGAACACTAGAGAATGCAACGAGAAACAGCACCAGTATTTCCGAAGTGGCAATTCTCTCGGAAGAGGAAATGCAAACACTAGAGAATGCAACGAGAAACAGCACCAGTATCTTTTCCGAAGTGGCAATTCTCTCGGAAGAGGGCAAATCTGTATTCAGAACACTAGAGAATGCAACGAGAAACAGCACCAGTATCTTTCCGAAGTGGCAATTCTCTCGGAAGAGGGCAAATCTGTATTCAGAACACTAGAGAATGCAACGAGAAACAGCACCAGTATCTTTTCCGAAGTGGCAATTCTCTCTGGAAAAGGGCAAATCTGTATTCAGAACACTAGAGAATGCAACGAGAAACAGCACCAGTATCTTTTCCGAAGTGGCAATTCTCTCGGAAAAGGGCAAATCTGTATTCAGAACACTAGAGAATGCAACGGGAAACAGCACCAGTATCTTTTTCCGAAGTGGCAATTCTCTCGAAGAGGGGCAAATCTGTATTCAGAACACTAGAGAATGCAACGAGAAACAGCACCAGTATCTTTTCCGAAGTGGCAATTCTCTCGGAAAAGGGCAAATCTGTATTCAGAACACTAGAGAATGCAACGAGAAACAGCACCAGTATCTTTTCCGAAGTGGCAATTTCTCGGAAGAGGCAAATCTGTATTCAGAACACTAGAGAATGCAACGAAATATCTTTCCGAAGTGGCAATTCTCTCGAAGAACACTATTCAGAACACTGAGAATGCAACGGAAACAGCACCAGTATCTTTCCGAAGTGGCAATTCTCTCGAAGAGGGCAAATCTGTATTCAGAACACTAGAGAATGCAACGGGAAACAGCACCAGTATCTTTTCCGAAGTGGCAATTCTCTCGGAAGAGGGCAAATCTGTATTCAGAACACTAGAGAATGCAACGGGAAACAGCACCAGTATCTTTTCGAAGTGGCAATTCTCTCGGAAGAGGGCAAATCTGTATTCAGAACACTAGAGAATGCAACGGGAAACAGCACCAGTATCTTTTCCGAAGTGGCAATTCTCTCGGAAGAGGGCAAATCTGTATTCAGAACACTAGAGAATGCAACGGGAAACAGCACCAGTATCTTTTCCGAAGTGGCAATTCTCTCGGAAGAGGGCAAATCTGTATTCAGAACACTAGAGAATGCAACGAGAAACAGCACCAGTATCTTTTCCGAAGTGGCAATTCTCTCGGAAGAGGGCAAATCTGTATTCAGAACACTAGAGAATGCAACGGGAAACAGCACCTTTTTCGAAGTGGCATCTTTTCTGTATTCCACTAGAAGTGGCAATATCTTTTCCCGAAGTGGCAATTCTCTCGAAGAGGGAAATCTGATTCAGAACACTAGAGAATGCAACGGGAAACAGCACCAGTATCTTTTTCCGAAGTGGCAATTCTCTCGGAAGAGGGCAAATCTGTATTCAGAACACTAGAGAATGCAACGGGAAACAGCACCAGTATCTTTTCCGAAGTGGCAATTCTCTTCAGAACACTAAGAGGAAACAAATCTGTATTTTTCAGAACACTAGAGAATGCAACTAGAACGGAAACAGCACCAGTATCTTTTCCGAAGTGGCAATTCTCAATTCTCGGAAGAGGGCAAATCTGTATTCAGAACACTAGAGAATGCAACGGGAAACAGCACCAGTATCTTTTCCGAAGTGGCAATTCTCTCGGAAGAGGGCAAATCTGTATTCAGAACACTAGAGAATGCAACGGGAAACAGCACCAGTATCTTTTCCGAAGTGGCAATTCTCTCGGAAGAGGGCAAATCTGTATTCAGAACACTAGAGAATGCAACGAGAAACAGCACCAGTATCTTTTCCGAAGTGGCAATTCTCTCGAAGAGGGCAAATCTGTATTCAGAACACTAGAGAATGCAACGAGAAACAGCACCAGTATCTTTTCCGAAGTGGCAATTCTCTCGGAAGAGGGCAAATCTGTATTCAGAACACTAGAGAATGCAACGGAAACAGCACCAGTATCTTTTCCGAAGTGGCAATTCTCTCGGAAGGGCAAATCTGTATTCAGAACACTAGAGAATGCAACGGAAAACAGCACCAGTATCTTTTCCGAAGTGGCAATTCTCTCGGAAAAGGCAAATCTGTATTCAGAACACTAGAGAATGCAACGAGAAACAGCACCAGTATCTTTTCCGAAGTGGCAATTCTCTCGGAAGAACAAATAGATTCAGAACACTAGAGAATGCAACGGGAAACAGCACCAGTATCTTTTCCGAAGTGGCAATTCTCTCGGAAGAGGGCAAATCTGTATTCAGAACACTAGAGAATGCAACGAAAACAGCACCAGTATCTTTTTCCGAAGTGGCAATTCTCTCGAAAAGGGCAAATCTGTATTCAGAACACTAGAGAATGCAACGAGAAACAGCACCAGTTCTTTCTGGCGGAAGAGGGGCAAATCTGTATTCAGAACACTAGAAATGCAACGAGAAACAGCACTGCTTTTCCGAAGTGGCAATTCTCTCGAAGAGGGCAAATCTGTATTCAGAACACTAGAGAATGCAACGAGAAACAGCACCAGTATCTTTTCCGAAGTGGCAATTCTCTCGAAGAGGGCAAATCTGTATTCAGAACACTAGAGAATGCAACGAGAAACAGCACCAGTATCTTTTTCCGAAGTGGCAATTCTCTCGGAAGAGGGCAAATCTGTATTCAGAACAATAGAGAATGCAACGAGAAACAGCACCAGTATCTTTTCCGAAGTGGCAATTCTCTCGGAAGAGGGCAAATCTGTATTCAGAACACTAGAGAATGCAACGAAAAACGAGAAACTTTTCCGAAGTGGCACCAGTATCTTTTCAGAAACAATAGAGAATGTGGCAATTCTTTCCGGAAGCAATGGGAAGAGGGCAAATCTGTATTCAGAACAATAGAGAATGCAACGAGAAACAGCACCAGTATCTTTTCCGAAGTGGCAATTCTCTCGGAAAAGGGCAAATCTGTATTCAGAACACTAGAGAATGCAACGAGAAACAGCACCAGTATCTTTTCCGAAGTGGCAATTCTCTCGGAAAGGGCAAAATCTGTATTCAGAACAATAGAGAATGCAACGAGAAACAGCACCAGTATCTTTTCCGAAGTGGCAATTCTCTCGGAAGAGGGCAAATCTGTATTCAGAACACTAGAGAATGCAACGAGAAACAGCACCAGTATCTTTTCCGAAGTGGCAATTCTCTCGGAAAAGGGCAAATCTGTATTCAGAACACTAGAGAATGCAACGAGAAACAGCACCAGTAT